TGTCCCCCACTAAAAATGTCCTATAAATTTCGATTTTTTCACGTACTTACGTACATGTTATCCTTTCCAAAACGCAGTATCGAGAAGTACATTGTATATTATAACAACTGCACTATCGTTTCTCTAATCTTTCTCTTGAAATTTCGAATTATGCTTCACGAAAAACAAACGGTAGAAATTTATCAAGCTTTAAAATCGCGATCCAATTGAAGAAATTATTTCTTCTCTTCGATCTCCACGCTGCGTGTCACAGTAAATATAGAAACCGAACAGATTGCTCCAACTCTTGACGTCATCATAACTTCTTCTTGTTCCAAGTTCACCCTCCCTCGATTCGACGAATGCCCTTATTCACCGTAACTTTCCGATTTCCCATACGATTCCCATACAACTTCCAGTGTGCGTCGCGAACTTGATGTTGTTGGGCAACGGTAGTCGATGGGGACCAGATGTGTCACTTGTTTAGGGATTCTGGTGTCAGGACCATAGCCAGTGACGCAAGGAAAAGGACTGCGACGCTTCGCTATCTTAAAATATAAATTGTATGGAGAAATTCAAAGATATTTTACATTGTTGAGTTGCAAAATTTATGTTTACAGAATGTATTTAATGGGAAAATGTTTAAAACATCAAATTCCTTTATCTTTTAATGGTTTTATTTTGTTACCTCGCTGTATACGCAAGTATATACTGTACTGACCCTATTATTAATAAATGTATTTTTATTACAATGAAATCTCGACACTTAGGCCAGTCGCGACACGATTCCTCCTCATCTCGAACACTTCCGGTCGACGTCTACTCGGGATACCGTCATCTCGTTGTCGATGCAGCTTCTGCAACTTCGAGTTGGATTTGCATACGGCCACGGTAACCGAATCCATGCATACTGTTTGCTGTTTCGCGATACATGCGAGATTTTGGGGACAGAGTGTCGTGGATAGGTCTAAGACAATTCGTGGGCTTCCTGCGTTGTCCTATGGGCTATGTAAACGACGTCTCTTCGGTACAGGTGTTCTTCAATTTCGAGCTTAGTTCTGGCTTTTTTCCGCTTTTCATCGACGATGAAAATTGTTGGGCTTTTGTGGAAATATTTGAAGAGAGATCTCGGAGAATTGGAGTATTTTATTTCTTGAACATTTTACGTGGACTGATCGTGAAGATTCTCTTTCTCGTCATTTCATTTGGTTATTACCAACAGGCAGGAATCAGTTTTTTAATAAACTTAACTTTCTCAGGGGTTATGTCAATTAAATTATTGAAAACATAATTTCTATCTGAAAATAAATTAGAATCTATACGTGTCGAACCTCGGGACTGTTCTGAATTCATCTTTAAAACGTGTCGAAAATACCACAGATATTTAAACACCATAAAATTAAAATTCGTAGATTTGTAATCTTAAAACTACTTATACTTTTAAATCAAACAATAGTAATTATTTTTCTCATATAATTTGCATAAATAACGCATAAATTACATTCTCGCCTCAGATATTCTTCAATTTCACAGACTTCAAGAAACTCGAACGGAACTTCAGACTCTCTTCTATTATTTCAAACTAATTTTACACATTTCGACGTTCTTTGTAAAATACGTTAATACATTCGCGTACGTTCGAAATTACTCGCCTTATTTATCTCGAAACGAACGGTATCGCGATTCACTTTGATACATCTTCGCGCGTTATTGCTGCTCTTCTAGCCGCGTAATTGCATTCTTTGTCTGAAATTTCCCGAATAACTTCGTGTTCGTAAATATGTAAATTTCACGCGTTACCCTTCCTCTGTTTTAACGTCTTTGGTATCCTCGACGTTGGATGCTGGAAGCCGCCGAGCTTAGTCCTTTTCGTGTGTCGTTTTTAAACGACGCTGCAGTATTTAATTACGAGCTGCGAGACTTACGAACGAGCTGGATTTTCCAGCATTTGCATAATTCCCCTTCTTCACGCTTTCTCAATTAAACAACGAAAAGAGACCAAATAATATATGATTGAACGAAATTTAAAAATTCGTCGATTATACTCCAAGAAAATGAAAATGTAAATTCCGCAAGCTGTTCGAAAGAAATATCCGTATATGTATAAAGTCACATATTATGAGTGGAAGTTACCCGAAGAGGATAAAGAATTAGATTTTCTTTTTTGGGACGCTCTTTCCTTAATCGTTTTGGTATAATTTTTTTTTTGTACAACTTTGTTAGAGTCGAGGCCAAGTTTGAGAGATATTTTTTGCCACTTCGATCAAGTACGCCGCACGTAACCGCGTTTGAAAAGTTTTAAGTCGTCAGGAAACTTCGTGGTGTACGCCTCTGCTTCGCCGCGACTTCGTTGCAAAAGTTTCGTTCTTACTCCACTTTAGCGCGAAAAAATAGCAGGAGAAGCTCGATATTTCGGAGAGCGATTTTATGCGTTAAATATCTACACGTTTTCAATTTCTCTGGGCATATTTCTCGACGCATTACTTTTATCAGCTGGGACCTTTTACAACGACGATGATGAATTAAAAATCGAGGTAACGTAAAAATTTCTAGCCATTTGCGAAAACTCTTCATCAAATTGATTAAAAATTGTGTGTGTGTTACGAAACAATTCCGCGAGCCAGCAAACTTTTCGCATAACGTGGCACATTATACTGGAGAGAACGGGAAAATAAAGTAGCAGTCGGCGTGCAAAAATCGGGGCCGATGTCGGGTCTTGTGCGATAATTTTGCGATGAAATCGGGATCGAGGCCAAGTCGCGACGAACTGCTGTTGCGAGAGCGCGTTTACGCGATGGTGAACAAAAGGGGAGCGAGAGATTGCGATGGGCAAAAAAAAATCAAGAGAACTGAAGAAATCCGAAGAAAAGGGAAGGAAATTGAAGAAACGTGGAAAGAGGGGAAGAAGAGAGACGAAAATCGATGAAAAGCGAGGAAAAGTAAAGAAACGGGGCAGAAATCGAAGAAAAGCAGAGAAGAGTGAGGGAAAGGGACGAAAATCGATGAAAATGGACGAAAGTCGAAGAAAACTAAAGAAAAGTGGAGAAAAGCGAAGGAAAATGACGAGACGCGTGGAAAGGTGCGAGGAAGGCGAAACGGGCACGTCGGTTTCCAGGAAAGTGTAAAAAAGAAAAGTGCAGGAACAGCCGGGCAGAAATAGCTCTGGTTAATTTTGCACCGGCCCGTGCTATAAACGTACATCATACAGCCTCCGCGTCTGTTCATCGTCTGCTCTCCTCTTCTTTCTCCAGCCTTTCTTTTTCTTCGTCTCTTCGACTTCTCTGTCACGCCCTTCCCAGTCGCTCTTCTACCCCGTTTCACATTTTTACCACGCGGAACCTCGCCTTGGCCCTTTCTTCCGCAGGGTTAAAAGGTTCTTACTGCTGTCTTAATTATGGAGACGGGGCTGGAAAAATGGCCGAACGAAGTGAGTTATTGGGGAATTAGAGTGGCGGTATACGTGACTGGCTTTCTTCATCTTCTACCAGTCGAATTTATTTTAATAACGGAGTTTATGGAATCGTTGAAAGAGACTCGCGTAAGGTGTGATATAGCAATGCACTTGTCGATAACAGTAGATATGTATCGTGAACGGAAATATTCTATACTAACTTTTAGGAAAGTTCTTCAAAAAGGAGGCTTTAATCTTCGTAGTTTCAGCCACGAACGAAATTTTTTGTAGATTTGGGATCTGCTTGAATCTTGTTCGTATTTTGGGGAAAAGTCATTCTTATTCCTTTATTTTCCCTAAGTGTAAAATGGCATTCGAGAAAATTGGAGTTATGGGAGTGGAAGAAGGCTTCAACCTTTCAAACCGTGTCATAAAAGTTATACTAGGACTACGTTTGACGAAGTTGTGTTACTTGAAAATACACGAAGTCAAGTAGTTTTTGTCTATTCATTTACTAATTCGTTACTTATTATTAACGTATAGTGATCAAAATCCCCCGAAAATGATATTTTCGAAATCCACGAATATATTCCATTTCATATAAACTTATCGAATAAAAGAATTTTCTTTTTTATTAGCTTCTCCTATGCATATTTCGCGTGTAAATTACGCAACTCACGTGCAATCGTTAAAAACCTAATAGAATCAGGAAAAAAATTATTACTCATTCATTTTCAAGAGTATCTACCTTAAAATCTTATCAATCATTAATATCGCGTTAACACATGATAAAAGAAGTTTTATATTTTCCCATTTTTCCTCTTTTTTCTCACTTTTCCTATATCTCGCGTAAAAACATTACATAAGATCCAAACCGCATTAATACAGCTGCAGTTGCGAAAGACGTAAACTAAATCTACCATGACCTAAATGAGCAATTTCAAAATTTCCATTAGAAATTCCGGATTCAACGTTATCGCTTTGTTTATTTAATAATAAAATTAATTTTTTAAGGATCTCCTTTTATTTTTTCATCTATAGGTCACTTGACAAGTAATAAGTAGGTTCAATGTTAACGCAAAAAAAAAGAAAAAGAAAAAACGAAAAAAATGATTAATCCTTAATTATTGTTATATATTTATTATTGTTTTATCGATTACATAAAATTCGACTGTTCAGTACAATACCTGTTGATGAGTCGTGCCAAAGACAGGAAGGGAAGTAAAATTGCAAGGAAGGTGTCGATGCAGCCCCGGAAATCTCTGTTTCGGGCCGATTGTCGACTGGCGAGCGCGTGTACGCATTTAGAGATCCGAGATTACGCTCGCGGCGTCACATGGCCGTCACTATAACGAATTCGTCCACATTCGCCCGTGGTTTATTTACGGCGGTTCGTTTCGATTATTTTCCTTTCTTTCCCTCTCCGCGTGCACGATGGCCGCCTCGTCCTTGTCACCGCGTCCAAGGGGATGGTCCAAGGAAAAACAAATGAGGCAGCAAATCAAAGGGGGTTCTCCCTCTATCCTGACAGCACCTCTTTTTCCGTCGGCTCCCTCTTTCAACCACGCTCTTTGAGCTGCTTTGCGAAGCGCCGCATCGTTCATCTTCCCTTTTTCCCTCTTTGTTTCAGACATACCCAGCGAGCAATCCGTTTTCGTCATGCTGAACGGCGAGGAAAGCGAGCTGAGATTCCTCAACATCGCGAACCCAAAGGTGAGCCACCCGCTTCCGAGTTCCCCGCGTAGCTGGAGAACGTTTCTCCAACACGAGCGACGTTTAGCGCCTTTATTTTTCGGAATGGAAGTTTGGGAACGGAGAACCGATCCGTTTCTTCGTTCCCTCGCGTGATCGAGCTTTGTCTGCCAGTCGCGTTGATCCCTGCGTCTGAAGGGTGGATTAGGAACGACGTGGAACGACGTTCGCATTGGGGATGAAATAAAGAAAAGTGGAATATTACCGTGACAGTATATTTGGTATTCGGTCCATAATTGTCGCGAATTTATTTTTTTTTCTTTTTTTGGGTATATGGTTGTACCAAATAAAATTGTACTTATCGTGTTTTAACGCGAGTAAAATTTATATAAATTTTCGACTTTTGTAATATTATTTTTCACGAAATAGACGCTCAGCGAGTAGTCGAAATTCATTAGTTAACTGCAGAGTTTTATTTTAAAAATTCTTTACGTGGTGCGTAATTAAAGTCGAGCAATGACGAGTATACACGTCAAGCTGTGTTAATTGGTTAACGAGATCGGATTAGCGAGTTTTTAAAATTTCGATACCGATATAATTATACGAATTCTACGAATCTTTTGCACCTGTACGTTGATGTATAATAGCAGAGGATGTTACATTATTTCTCTGCTTCTTAGTCGCTCATAACCTACGTATTTCTGTTTCAAAAAGACGGAACTGGAGAACATACACCCGGATGCCTTCGTCATCATGTATTCCGTGATCGATAAGGCGTCGTTTCAGAGGGCAGAGGAGTACCTGGAGCGTCTCCACGATCAGGATTTCCTGCGGGGAAAATCGGCTATATTAGTCGGTAATAAAGTGGATCTAGTTCGGTCCAGGGTAGTTTCTTCGCAAGGTTAGTACACAGATTTAATCCAGCCTGTATTATTTTTACATATAAAGTAATTTTACCGAACAAAACAGTCCTTTGTCGATCAAAATTTCGAATTAAAAACATCGCAAGTGATAGCGGTCTACGTATAGTCAGACGCGAATTGTCCCTATGCCGACACGCAAACACGAAACTTCCGATATTTGTATCGTACTAAAAATGTTTTTACCGGAAGGGAGTTAATATTAACGTATTTCGCTATCGGGAAAAGTTGGGAACAAAAGCTTCAAAAGCAAATCATAGGCGGCAGTGTAAAAACATTCGCAAAAGCTTCTTTGACGCAAACTCTAACTCTTATCCAACGCTAACGTGACAAACGCGATAAACTCTTACCCTCTCGTTTAAAAACACTCATCTATCTATGTTGTCTATAATCACGAGTATGTTATAACCAACGTTTGTTCCGAATTTCAAAAATTCACTTCAGGAGTAAGACTCTAGGGCAGTAATGGCGAACCTGTGACACGTACGGAAATTTTCTTGGCGCGTGAATAATTCACTGATAATGCAACTTTTTAATCGATTCAATTTTCTCCCTTTTGTAACATATAAAAGCAAAATTTTGTTTGCTTGAAATCATACGTTTTTTAAAAGTATTATTAAAAGCATGTATTATTAAAAGCAAGCAAATACGAGCCGGAAATAAATAATTCGATATCGAATACGCAACAATTTTGTTGAAATTTCACGAAATTACTTTAATATTCTAAATTATCGCTCGCGAGTTTACCGTCGCGAAATTTTATGCAATTTTTAAACTGCGCCTCAACGAAATCTCACTACCCTAAATTTTTCGCTAATTCTTTCTCCGTTGATCGAAAACTGTCCAGCATCGTCGGAAAGTCGATAAATAAGATTCGCGAATTTTCGGCACAGGAAGGTTCACCGTAACTGCTCTGGAACAACCCTAACTCCGATTTGGAGTCTCGATCCCCGTTTCACCCTCCGTACCTGGAGCAAACCAAGCAGAACGTTCCATACTCCTGATTGTCAAACGGAAACTTCTCGTCCCTCTTCCCTATTCTTACCCAGGATAAAACGATCAACGCGTTATTTTCCGTCATCCTACACGCGCCCTTGGCAGCGCCGCGTTTAAATATACGCTTCCCTTCTCTAATCCGGACGCGTGCTGCCCGCAGATGGCAAGTGCATGGCGTGTACCTATCGGGTGAAGTTCATCGAGGTCTCGGTCGGGATCAACCACAACGTGGACGACCTGCTGGTCGGCATTTTGAACCAGATACGGCTGAAGAACGTGCAGGGTAACGCGGAGAACCGCGCCGGAAACGGCGCTAGCGAGGGCAGCGGCCACTGGTACAAGTCGAGGGGTGTGGTGCGAGCCAGCATGAAGGCCAGGCAGATGTTGACCTGGCTCTTCGGCAAGGAGGACAGCAAGTTCAAGAACTGCGAGAATCTTCACGTGCTCTAAACACGGTGAATATTCTTCTAGGCCGTACCTGACGGTAGATTGTAAGGACGGTGCTGTTTGGCGCAATTCCGCTCCCCTGCATGATCGCCATGCTTCCAGACGGACATAACTCGAACCCGCACGGTGCTACGGAACCTGCGAATTGAAATTCGCGAGATTCCAGGACCCGGTGAGGTTCTGTCTTCGTTCCGAGCTGGTTTCGCTAGGGGTGGCCAATTTCGTTCACTGGACATTAGTGTTCTCTCCTCGGTTCTTTCTCTTGTCCAAAATATCGCGAACTTTGGGCTTCCTTCACGGAGTTATTCTCCTGACTGTCTTTTATTTTATTTTATTTTTTGTTGTACGGTGCAGAGGAGTATATTTAGTAGCGTGTCTGGAAATAAATTGAAATGATTCCATTTGTAGGTTTTTTCTACCTTACTTTTCTAGATTTCTGATTTAATTTAATAAGTCTCCCGGGATGGACTATTTCAAACAATGTACTGTAATATATTTAAATTTGAGAATGAATCTTTTGCACCTGTACGTTGATGTATAATAGCAGAGAATGTTACATTATTTCTCTGCTTCTTAGTCGCTCATAACCTACGTATTTCTGTTTCAAAAAGACGGAACTGGAGAACATACACCCGGATGCCTTCGTCATCATGTATTCCGTGATCGATAAGGCGTCGTTTCAGAGGGCAGAGGAGTACCTGGAGCGTCTCCACGATCAGGATTTCCTGCGGGGAAAATCGGCTATATTAGTCGGTAATAAAGTGGATCTAGTTCGGTCCAGGGTAGTTTCTTCGCAAGGTTAGTACACAGATTTAATCCAGCCTGTATTATTTTTACATATAAAGTAATTTTACCGAACAAAACAGTCCTTTGTCGATCAAAATTTCGAATTAAAAACATCGCAAGTGATAGCGGTCTACGTATAGTCAGACGCGAATTGTCCCTATGCCGACACGCAAACACGAAACTTCCGATATTTGTATCGTACTAAAAATGTTTTTACCGGAAGGGAGTTAATATTAACGTATTTCGCTATCGGGAAAAGTTGGGAACAAAAGCTTCAAAAGCAAATCATAGGCGGCAGTGTAAAAACATTCGCAAAAGCTTCTTTGACGCAAACTCTAACTCTTATCCAACGCTAACGTGACAAACGCGATAAACTCTTACCCTCTCGTTTAAAAACACTCATCTATCTATGTTGTCTATAATCACGAGTATGTTATAACCAACGTTTGTTCCGAATTTCAAAAATTCACTTCAGGAGTAAGACTCTAGGGCAGTAATGGCGAACCTGTGACACGTACGGAAATTTTCTTGGCGCGTGAATAATTCACTGATAATGCAACTTTTTAATCGATTCAATTTTCTCCCTTTTGTAACATATAAAAGCAAAATTTTGTTTGCTTGAAATCATACGTTTTTTAAAAGTATTATTAAAAGCATGTATTATTAAAAGCAAGCAAATACGAGCCGGAAATAAATAATTCGATATCGAATACGCAACAATTTTGTTGAAATTTCACGAAATTACTTTAATATTCTAAATTATCGCTCGCGAGTTTACCGTCGCGAAATTTTATGCAATTTTTAAACTGCGCCTCAACGAAATCTCACTACCCTAAATTTTTCGCTAATTCTTTCTCCGTTGATCGAAAACTGTCCAGCATCGTCGGAAAGTCGATAAATAAGATTCGCGAATTTTCGGCACAGGAAGGTTCACCGTAACTGCTCTGGAACAACCCTAACTCCGATTTGGAGTCTCGATCCCCGTTTCACCCTCCGTACCTGGAGCAAACCAAGCAGAACGTTCCATACTCCTGATTGTCAAACGGAAACTTCTCGTCCCTCTTCCCTATTCTTACCCAGGATAAAACGATCAACGCGTTATTTTCCGTCATCCTACACGCGCCCTTGGCAGCGCCGCGTTTAAATATACGCTTCCCTTCTCTAATCCGGACGCGTGCTGCCCGCAGATGGCAAGTGCATGGCGTGTACCTATCGGGTGAAGTTCATCGAGGTCTCGGTCGGGATCAACCACAACGTGGACGACCTGCTGGTCGGCATTTTGAACCAGATACGGCTGAAGAACGTGCAGGGTAACGCGGAGAACCGCGCCGGAAACGGCGCTAGCGAGGGCAGCGGCCACTGGTACAAGTCGAGGGGTGTGGTGCGAGCCAGCATGAAGGCCAGGCAGATGTTGACCTGGCTCTTCGGCAAGGAGGACAGCAAGTTCAAGAACTGCGAGAATCTTCACGTGCTCTAAACACGGTGAATATTCTTCTAGGCCGTACCTGACGGTAGATTGTAAGGGCGGTGCTGTTTGGCGCAATTCCGCTCCCCTGCATGATCGCCATGCTTCCAGACGGACATAACTCGAACCCGCACGGTGCTACGGAACCTGCGAATTGAAATTCGCGAGATTCCAGGACCCGGTGAGGTTCTGTCTTCGTTCCGAGCTGGTTTCGCTAGGGGTGGCCAATTTCGTTCACTGGACATTAGTGTTCTCTCCTCGGTTCTTTCTCTTGTCCAAAATATCGCGAACTTTGGGCTTCCTTCACGGAGTTATTCTCCTGACTGTCTTTTATTTTATTTTATTTTTTGTTGTACGGTGCAGAGGAGTATATTTAGTAGCGTGTCTGGAAATAAATTGAAATGATTCCATTTGTAGGTTTTTTCTACCTTACTTTTCTAGATTTCTGATTTAATTTAATAAGTCTCCCGGAATGGACTATTTCAAACAATGTACTGTAATATATTTAAATTTGAGAGAAGACTAAGTTAAGCATGGTTTTTACAACGGGATTTTACAGTCTCTACGGAGACAAAGTAGAGATTCGGAATGGTTAAGGAGAGAAGGATGTGTATTATATACATTGGAGAATGTGCCGTGGAAAATTGCGGAACGTAATTGGTCATCCCAGCTGCGAGAGAATCTGGAAAAATCGTGGTGCGATCAAAGTGCCAATAAAGTAAAACGAACGTGACCACTGTTTCGCTTTGAACGATTAATTTTAATTAATGTTAGCTCTTAAGAACTTCCGTCGAGGATCCGCTCGATATTTACCGTAATACCGATAAAAATAAGTTCGTTAAGTCGTCATCATCGTTTGTGTTGGTTCATTGTGTACACGCGAAAAATAAATTGTCGGGAGCTCCGAAACAAAATTTATCATCTATAAGGCTTGATTAATCCTTTGATCGCTCAGTTGCTTCCGGGCGTTTCATGTGTTTCATTTTTTCTACTCGTACTCGATACATCTTATTAAAAATTGTTATTCGAAAATTAAAAATAAATTATATTATATAATAATTATATATAAAAATTTCCTCCTTATTTTGTATAATTCTCACGTTATGTATTCCTTCCTTTTACTTTCTTTACGTGGCGAAATTTTATTTCTGCGAGGCGAAAATTTGGTTTATTTAATAAGGCTACTGGCGAGAACGAGTTTAGAATATAGACGAAGAAAGAACGTAGTTTGACAGAGTCAAAGGGTTAATCGAAAGAAGCTTCGCGAGACTTGAAGAAGACTCGAAGGATGAAAGATGAGAAATGGCGGCAGCTGATATCGATTCTGCGAAGGGTACGAAGGAATTTGAAGGAATTTAAAGGAATTTAAATCGGACCATGGCATGAATTAGCGGCCAATAATGTTACATCGTTACTGTACAATAAGACCAATTTAATCTTTTTAATCCGAACTGTATATACAATAAGTTTAACGATAACGGATCTGTGTACCTACCTAAGAGGGAGGAGATGGGGGATGAAGAGCGAAAAGAAGAAAGAAAAGAAAGGTAGGAATGAGGGAAAGCAGCGAGATACATACGTGTGTTATATTGTTAGAAATATGCATACATACCTACACGCATATATATTCCTAATGTACGATCAAGATAAGTCTACGTTAGTTTTGTGTAGATGTATCGTTAAACGATTGACGTGTTACTGTATTGCGTGTTTTCCTTAAAAGAACGGGTACTATGAAGAATATTCCTTTTTGCGACGTTTTAAGATCAAATACGAAGGACAAAGAGGAACATATGTTCACATATACAGACACACACATGCAAACACACATACGTACACGTGTATTGTCCATTGTCTATTTTCTGCGATCTCTATGCCTATGTATATCCGAATTATGTATAAATATTATATATACGCGTATGTATATATAGGGTGTTGGAAGAAAGCTGGTTCAAGAATTCGGTGAAGTATAATTTTTATTAAATTCACTTTCTTTCTAACAGTTGACTGTAATACTAATTAACTAATACCCGATGCAATAAAGTAACAACGTATTTATCCATTTGCTAGAAAATCGTGCGATTAAAATAGAACAGAAATTTTAATGGAAAAAATTCGATTGATTAATTAAATTACAATTTCGAAAATTTCTTGAACCATGTTCCTGAAACACTCTGTACACTTAAAATCAAACAGTGTTGTAACAAGCATAGTTCGAGCGGTATATCCGTCTCAGGGGCCAAGCTACAGGGCTGTAAAATAAAGAAGAAAAGAAGAAACAGGAGAAATCGCTATACTTAAATACAGTTAAAACTAAGTTAAACGAAATAGCATGTTGCTTACAAGATATCCATTTGAAAAGGGATATAAAATCGAAGAGAGTCGAGCATGATACGCAACGAAAAGCGATATTAACTCGCGTAACGTTGGTGAATTATAGGGAACAGTATTATATTTTCCAAATATTTCCAAATACTATCCGAGCTATAAGACGGTGTTTGTAAACGGGATATCGAATCGGGGAAAGAATTTTATGGCAAGTTGTAGCATTAAATATGTATCCAGGTCACGTCGGAGGGATTAATGTTTCAAAGTAGTTAGCAAAGTTGACAGGATTTTGACTCAGACCGAGTCAAAGTTAACAAGTCGGAGGGAACTCTGACGCGCGAGCGAAAATAATTCAAGGTACTAGAGATTACGAGCGGAACAGATTATTATTTTAATAGAGACGTCCAAGCCTTTTTACCATAGACGCATGACTCGGGATGCAGAAAGAAATTCGAAGTAGCTGTTAAAATAATTAGATTCGAATGATCGTCAAATCCAACGGTGTTCCGGCAGAACGTTGACCAATTCAGAATAGCGCTCTTGCGATCGAAAAGAAGTTATTTTGTTATCTCGTACTACCGAATCGAAGACAATACCGAATCGTGGACCCTGCCGAGTGTGTAACGATAGTAGGCCGATGGAATGCAAATTTCACGGAATCGTGGTGTCGGCGAGTAAACGAAATCAAACGGAAGTGCGACTAGGACGAGAAGGGATGCGAGAATGAAAGGAAATCGTGGCCAAGGAAGGTGTCAGGTTAATCTGATGCGTTTCTCGACTCGCCGATCGCGAGACTATCTTCTTACAGCACTGTAAAATCGAACGAAAAGCGAGAAGGTGAAAGGAATGAAATAGCGAGACGTAAGATTAAAACGAAAGCGAACATCTCGTAAAATTTAAGCGGAAATTGTTCCTTTGCCGATACGTACTTTGTTCACCGAACGTAAAATGGCGAATTAACGAGGTTGTCATCGACCATTCGATTCGTTCTATCGTTTGTCAATCGCGAAACGAGCCAAGCTGTCATCGTTTGCCATCGGTTTGCGTGGTCGTTGCTCTAATCGTTAGATCGGTTGGAAAGAAACCAGTGAAAATGGCCAAGCTCTATGGAGGAAGCGTGTGAACTCGAACTAGGACCTTCACGAAATGGAACAGAGAGAGAGAGAGAGAGAAAGAAAGAGAGAGTGAGAGAGAGTGAGTGAGAGAGATAGAGAGAGAGAAAGGAAAAGAAGAAAAAGGGAATTCTTATCAAGTGCCTTTGTGTATTTTTGTAATTTAAGCTAAACTCGATGTAAGTCTTAACCCAAAAAATACAACAGTGTAACCATGAAATGTATATCGATACTGCGAACGCATGCTCTTCTTGGTTTTCGATAATTCGTTGTAATCGTCATCGTGCTTGCAAATCGTCATCGATTTCTCCCCTTTACTCTTCCCCCTTCTTTTCTCCCTTTTCTTTCCTCCTTCTCTTACTATATTCCTTTCCATTTTCGCTCGATATTCTTCTTCTTCCTCTTCGCTTCTAACTTTCTACTTGACGCTTCTACTTGAGAGAAGGATATCGAAACTCGCGAAACCCTGCGAATCTCACATGGACCTTGTAACGACGGATCCGAGAGCGATAACAGACACGAAGCAAAGCCAGGAAAAAGATGGAGAGAAATTGAGGAGGACCCTTGTTGGCACTAGAGGGCACGCAATTGAGGGAACGAGAGCCGTTCCTCTGAAAACGGTATCGACTTCCGGTTCTCCAACGATACACCCACTCGATGTCTACCGATTTAGCTTGTTCTCAAGGTGAACTTATCGATGTTACTTAAGTAAGCAACGTTATCATCGTCGTCTGTTCGTTGTGCGAGTGGTGCGTGACGTGACAATACTGCCATCTCTTCGGCTGATGGGAGGTATGACTCGCGTCAGCCGTCGCGACGCTTATCCGTGGAAGGCAACGGAGATGAGAGACCGACGAATTCTTGCACTCGTCCACGTGTAATTTCTGCGGTATATTTTAATGTAAGACAACCTGTCATCCAGAGGGAGACGAATGGCTCTAATCCCGAGGGATTATTGTACTTCGGTGATAATAAAGAAGCGACGTTGAAAATGGCCCACGTGTCTTTCCCTTCAAGTTTTTCGATTTATTTTCACTGTTATGCAAATTAGGCCCTCCCCCGTTTTCTTTTATTCGCAGTTCGTTCGGTCTTTTAATATCGTTCAACCTCAGCGAGGATTAAGAAACGGTATTAAAAATGGCCCATACTTTTTAACTTCCTCCTCCTTTTCGCCGTCGTTCTGTCTTTCAGTGTCAGGGTATGTATTTTACTATCCTTTTGTGCTTCCTGTATTTTTAATGAAAATGGAAGCAAGCTTTGCGAGCCAGTTAGATTGGAGATGCAGGCGAGATAAGCCAGCAGCAGCGAAGACTTTACGAATTACACACCATAGTAAAGGAATAAAGATGTCTTTAAATACTTAATCGGCGTAAGTGAAATTATCCTCACGTTTACGTTGCTATTTTAGTCAATTTTCGAATGAGTTTATGCAATTTCATTATCCATAATTTACCGAGAACTTTGTGTTGCTGTTATAACACCCTTAATGTATGCAATTTACTAGAAAATGCATTTAAATCCTGCACCCCTAAAAATTCCATATTTCCTTCTTTCCTCCGCCTGTTATAAATGCTTGGAAATTAATTCAAATTAAAATTTTTTATAATTAACTTCCACCTGTAATTTAAACCCTCAGATCCCTGCCAAAATTATCACTAACACCTCGAGTCTCCCCGATCTCGAGGCTCGGATCGATTTAACGCACCGATCTTTTTAATTTCAGTAACGAATGCACACGGTCCCACCCTGTGGTAAGACCTGTACTTTTTCAATGTTAATATCGTCGTAAATCTTGTTGGGACGCTTAGTTGATAAATAACAGCGTCCAGACGCATGCGCCCTGGGCATCGATTATTTTGATTGGTGCCAGATATTACCAGGCTCCAGTCGTGGCAGTCTGCCACGAAGGAAAACGAATGTCGAATTCTTGTAACCTCGAACGGTCGGATAA